TTATTGGATCAAGCGAACACGTACAATTATATGGTACAGTACAATATCGTTCAGACCATCCTGGATTTCATTGACAAAATGTAACATTTTTTGGATTCAATAATCTGCACCAGCTGATGATTAATCAAGTTAACGTTATTAGCATTTAGTCGTTTCTAATCAGCAGCAAAAATAATAGGTGACGAATAATTTGTTTGCCGATTAAAGAGTTGTTAGACTAATTCGAATGTAGTTACTGTAGGCAATATCTCGATTCCATGAGCAATAAGTAAATCATTCAAGATAACTTGTGCAAGATATAGCATTCCTGCTCCGGTGACTGCTGGTAAAGCAATTGACAGAGCTGGTAATTTCAGTTGCTCAAGACGGTGATATGCTAGGGCCTGAGAGAATTCATTTTCTGTATTGTAACCACTCGATCCAGGATCAACCATATGATTGCGAATCGATGAGAACATGATAAAGAAATGCAAAAGTGCACCGACTAGTTGTGACGCTTGATGAAGATTTCAGCAATCATGAACTTTGGGTGCTATAACACGAAAGAGTGTGTCTTGACTAAGATTAATCAACAATTTATCATCGGATTCGACAGTACTATGTACAATGCCATGCACTGGATATGATGTTTGATTAAGACGTTTTAACAGTTCATAAACATTGTCAAATTGAGTTACATCCACTCGAACGACGTCAATACAGACATTGTGTGTGGCAGCTGTCAATTTCAGTTGCAACCAGTCTTTTAGTTGTGGATTATTTTTGGTTTTTTCAGACTGCTCAATCGTACGACGGCTCATTAAAACCATGTGCTTGACGCCTCGCTTTTCCACCATCCAAAGACACATAGTAAGTTCGAGACTACCCAATCCACCCGATAAGTAAACGCATCAGTTACTTCAGATGGCTCCAAAATGCGCAAGGGTTCGAATGGTTTAAATAGACCTCTTTGGAAATGATTGAAAATATCCTCAGGTATTTCATGAACGGTGTGAGGTTAAAGAAGGGCGTGATAATAGATATAATGACGTGGAAATGACAATCATTTCGCAAGCCAAAAATCGGTATACTATTATTTGTGTATACATCCCGTTTGCCGAATTCAATAAAGTGGCCCTGAGATGCAAGTAGTTTGAATGATTCTTGGAGCAATGAACCTGAAAGCGACAGCAGTGTCACATATCCTGCAATTTGGAGAAGTGCTCACATCTCTGCTGGGAGATGCTGCATTTTCAGCGGGAGATGCAGTACCCAATGTGAGGGATGCACATCTCTCAATGAGATGATACATCTCCAACAGCAAATCACCGCATCTCCCGAGTGTGGGTGCCGCGTCTCCCGCGGGAGATGCCGCATCTCCTGTGAGAGAAGTGAGCACTTCTCTAAAATCTTGGATATGTGACACCACTCGAAAGCGAATATACAACATCGTCAGCACCATTTGGAAAAAGAGAATGTATTTCGTTGACAAACGATACATCGCGGGTGTCGATGTGGATGTGGGTGTGAATTACGGCCTTCTTTTTATTTACATATGCACCCACACCAACGCTAACATCCACATTCACATCCATACCCATACTGCGTATTTAGCGATTTCAAACAAGATAGCCGTTTTGCACAATGTTTGAAGGAAGTTTTATACGTTTCTATAATTAAAACCATATTTGAAATGTTGTTCATAATGGAAACCATGAAATAATGCATATTTGACTGAAATTTACATTTATTATGATATAAAATGCAAGATCCTTGTTTAGTATTTTTAATCGAACGTAGTAAACTTACACCACAAAAGAGGTGATATTTGGTGCAGATGAACTGTGAAGCTTCAGCTACATTTTATCAGAAAACCATATCTCAATACTTTAAAGTTTTCTTGAAATATTAGGCAAACCAAATCATCTATTAAGTTTAGGATCAATTTTGAGTGCTACTGTATACATATGTCCATGATGGCTCGAAAATCATAATCACTTAATGAATACAGACAACTCGGCTACTTATCAAGCTTAGTCAAAACTTGTGATTCGTAAAGTTTAAGTTAATCAATACTGGAGAGAAGGTAACACTTTCGGTTACGATTTAATCACGTGTTTGATATGAGTGAAAAAGTTTGCATTATTGGTGCATTTCTTTATAGAAAATTGTTCATGACTCTTCGAAAACTTGAATAATCATGGAAACCAATGTATTGAATTATTTTATTAGTTCTTTCGTCATTAAAATGAATTCTCTTGCATTCTTTATATAAGAATATACCAAAATAGGTGTTTATAAAACTAAGATAAAACATTTAAATGATCTTAAATGCATAATAACAATTGAAATACAAGTAAATATTGGAAAAAGTTTAATTTTTAAATTGTAATCGAGGCTGCTATGTTTTCAATACTGTTAATGAATTTGGTCTTAAGCAGGAAGCTTTATTATTGAGTAGATAACGTTTTAATCGAGTTTGATTCATAGCCGAATTATCTGCATCTTTTAAATAATCGTGATTTTTTGCGATACCCTCCATAAATGCTTTTAGAGTCGAACTACAAGGATTAAGCTGGATTTATCATTTGAGAAGATATAATGTGTTTTAAATGTACCAAAAGAGAACTATAGTTCAGAAGAGTTAGTCCGCACCCTCAACTAGTACCGTATCCTTACTGTCGTTCTGGCTCTCATTCTCAACTGGTTACTTGTTGTCAGTTTAATTCGCAAAATAAAAGGCGGAGTTTTACAGAAAAGTCCTAAGAAATAAATCCTGGAAGTTGTGGTTGATGTTGGGGAAATTGTTTATTCAAATGATTTCTTTTAATAATAGAATCTGATTAGTTTTGTTCAGAAAGACTTTACTAATCTCACAGCTCTGTACAATAATTGCTTTAATCGCCTCATGAGACTTATGTTCGTTGGTCATATATTAGTATAGGCTCAGTTTCTCTTTGTTTATTTATTTTTATGTAGTATAACAGGTTCTCAAGAAAGATCAATTAGGTCAGTAGTGTTTCTATCAAATTCAGAAGAACTTGATCGCCTGTTTAATTGAGAAAAATTGCATATCCTCCCTCAATCATAATAACTTGACGAAAACTAAGGTAAGAGAAAATTGCCTTGTTACGTCTACAATTTTTCTATGAAGAGACATTTTGATATAAACATTATCAAGAGAAAGATCTATCAAAAACATAAATAATACACGTTACAACAGTGTTGATCGAGTACTGAAATTTACCACATCATGTCATATCGATAATTGAGTATGTGAAACATAGAAATATGTTTTTGTTTGAATGGCAACAAAACACAATCTTGTAAATACACAGATGAAGCGCAAAAGGAACGAAATAATAACCTTAAATGAATCCTTTCGAGGCGATGAGATTCACCAGTGGGCCCAACTACAGGGCGGTCCAAAAGCTCATTTATCGCAGAAAAAACTGAATATCTCTGTCCTATATTAACCAAAGGGGTTGATGCTTTTACTACTGATAAAACTATGTTAATTGCTTATATTGATAAAGGAAACGTTGATAAAAATTGTTTTGAAGTACTACAATTGCTACAAAAAAAGAAATGAAAGTTTTCGCGCATTATGCAAAAAGCAATATTCGTGTCGCCGCGAATGGGTTAAGCGGTTTGGTTAGTTCATCGAATAAGCCTAAATCCAATTTCTTCAGGCTATACTCATCGAACCCAAAAGTTTTGATTCGTTCCTTGCCTAAACCCACTCAATCCAAAATTTGATTTCAGTATTATATGAGTCCTGTATGAAATTCAATCGCCTTTTAATTCAAAAATCTCTCAGAAAGCGAAAAGAATGTCATGTGCTTCGACAACACAAACTGTCTTATAGTACGAAAAAGTAGAATTCAAAAGTCAAGTAGCAAGCATGGAGAGTCTAGATATTCACAGAAAACAAACTACTAAATTCGTGTAACTCTCAGAAGATTAAAGTAGGGTGTGGGTGTGGGTGTGGAGGGTGTACGTATGAATCTGAAGTCACGCCCATAGCCACACCCACACCCACACCCACACCCACACCCACACCCATCTGCATTCACACTCACACCCATTCATTTTGCCAAAAAACAGAAAAAAGTAATTCTTGATAGAAAGTGTATGTCCTTTGCCCTGTTCTTCGAAAAGAATGCCAATCATTTTATCTATCAACAAGTAGTTATCAAACTTCTAATATAAAAGCATCGAGTGTTTTTGTTTGACTGCAAGTTGTCGTTGATTTCAGTAAAAATGGTAAATATTCAAACCATCAATCTTGGTTCTACTGTTCGGACAGTCCATTCACAACTATGGATATACAAATGCCCAACTTGTCAGGACGATATTGTATCCTACACGCACATTCCGAGTACAAATAATTGGACAATGAATATTATTCAGAATGCTACTGTCTATGGTAACACCATGTCAGAACCTCCTGAGATCAATTGTTCAGTTCACAATCAACGAGTAGTTCTTCGTTCATTAACTTTCAATCTGTAGTTATATCCGAGACAGAGAGATGCGAATGATCCTTGTGAAATTGTGTGCCAATGTTACGTTTTATATCGACCAATTATAATTGCATTGAATGAATTTGACTTAAACTTTCTTTTTTTGAGAAGAGACTGATTCATAGCAACTATTTCCAGAATCCAAATATGTCAACTGAGTACCCTGATGACTTTCAACGTGGTCTTCATTTTTCTGACTTTGTCTCAGAACCGAAGCGAATGCTTTTACCAATAAAAGGATTTGAAGATAAGCCTCTTGTGTCTCTCGAAAAAGCAGTTGAACCACTTCATTCACTGGTCAATGATATTGGACAAATGGTCTGGATAGCTAAAGAAAATTGTCAGAAACCTGAAAACTGTCTTTCACGAGATGAATCAGCTTCAATCATGCTTTACTCGATGGAATGGACACCTCACGAAAGTTCATTTTATTACGTCTTGAATAATGTACTTCGGTCTCAAAATCGACAAGAACTTATACCTTGGTTTCTTTACCTTCGTCTTGTTATTCATGCTCTGTCAAAACTACCAGCTAGCTCGCCTAAGATCGTTTATCGAGGTATCAGAAAGGATATGAGTAGCGAGTTTTCGAAAGGACAAAAATTTATCTGGTGGGGATTCTCATCTTGTACAACATCCATAGAAGTTCTCAACAACTTTCTAGGACAAAATGGAGCGAGAACTATTTTTAATATTGAATGTCAATCGGGTAAAAGTATTGGTCAACATTCATTTTATGAAAAGGAAGATGAATTCTTAATTTATCCAGCCCAACAATTTGAAGTCATATCATCTTATAATGCAGGAAACCAACTCCACATTATTCATATCAAAGAAACTTCACCACCCTGGCCTCTATTTCCGAAACCTGCGCAAGTAGCAAATGATCCAATTTCTTCTTACGAAAATCAACAGCTTGTTAATCGTATCCTCCAGTTCCGACTGTTGAGCTTCATAGATCTGGAGTATCAAAATTTAATTGACGATGATATGAATATCATTGCGAGAGAAGCCATCATCAAGAAAAAATGTCGGCAGCTTCGGTTGCAAGGACAACGTATCACGTCTAATGGTGTGTCAATCTTAGCCAAAACTCTACAAAATAATGAAACTCTAGAAATATTAGACCTTTCAAAAAATCGGGTATGTGACACCGGTGTAGCTGATTCAGCCCAAGTACTGGCGCTCAACAACTCAGCTCTCAAAACTCTTTCTATTCGATCAGCTAGTGTAACAGATGTAGGCATACAACATTTAGCGGAAATGCTTAAAACGAATACCGTACTAACTGGACTTGAATTAAGTGAGAATCAAATCAGTGATCGAGGTGTAGAGCTGTTGGCTAACTCTCTCACTCGTCATAATCAAAGTTTGATATGGCTTTCTCTATCTTTCAACTGGTTGGTGAGCGACTTGAGCATCGACTTTCTCGTTCGAATGCTCGAACAAAATGTTTCATTGAAAGAACTGTACATATCCGATTGTAATCTAACTGAGAATGGAAAATTGAAACTCCGACAGACGAAAAAGTCAAATGTTGGTTTTAGACTTCGAGTTTAACGAGACTAGCTTCATAATTACTTGATTTCTATATTAGACATTAATTCGTTAAATTATCTTTGTTTAAATATACCTTTCTGATTTATATAATAAAACATGAATGCATAAATAATAAAAGCTTAATCAGAATCCAGAGTTACACCCCTGGGCAAAAGTCTTTCCCCCCACCTCTTTTTTTCAGCAGGAATTTCTCTACTATTGTAAAGACAAACATGGTGTTGTTCAGGCCAAATAAAAGAGAACGCGAATAACTCCTACTCGGCCCGCACAACACCATGTTTGGTCCTTATAGTAGTAGAGAAAACCTTGCCGAAAAAAGAGGTGGGGGGGAGACTTTTGCCCAGGGGTGTATTTCAGGTGGACGATACAAACGTTTCATTACCTCTTCGTCAAGGAAGCCCAAAGGTAGACCTTCATTTACATGATGTAGTGCTAGCTCATTTTTACTTTTTTCGTGCAAAACTTGTGCAACATTTCGTTGAATTCTGGCAATCTCTATGTAATGTGGAGGCAATTGTTCTTGTTGAATCGCTGAACATTGCCGCAGATAATGAAGAGATTTATCTAGATGTCTTAATTCATAATCAGTAGTGGACAAATTACGTAAAGATGTTGAGATTGCTGAATGGTCACTTAGGAAATACTTCTGCTGTATACTCAAAGATGACTTATTGAACTCGAGTGAACTGTCACAATCTTTAACAAAATAGAATAGGTTGCTTAGTTCTCCTAACGTGATAGCTATGTCTTGGTGGTCTGGAGGTAAACAACCTTGTTGCATTTGAAGTACTTGCAATTGAGGGTGTGGGTGTGGGTTTTTCTTCAAAACCAACATCCACATCCACGACCGACACCCACACCCACACACTCACACCCACACCCACCCCACACCCACACCCACACCCACACCCACACCCACACCCCCACACCCACACACCCACCTTTGCACCGAAACCAAATAAGGTATGTTTAGGTCAA